TATTCAGTTATTCTTTGCTTTGTTTGATTTATTTTTAAAGAATTTCTTTTTTGTGTATTTCTGTAAATATATATATAATAATAGCTTTATTTTATAATTTCGCTGATGTTATTTATATATTCAATGTTTAAATATTTTTCATTATATCTCTAAGAATATTTGTTTAACCTATCGAAAAAGAACAAGTTTCTTAATCATGAATTAATTGTAATTATAATTCCTAGCATGGCAGAGAATTTGTTGAATGACGTAGAAAGATGGAAATGGAACTGGACAGAGTTATGTGGATCTAACAGAAATATTAATCCTTTGAATCCTGAAACACATGACTTGGGTGTATGTTTTCAACAGCTTTGTCTTCAGGTAATATAATAAAATTTATTTTGTATTAAATTAAAAACATATATTAACATGATTTGTTTACCAAATTTATTTCTGAATTTTCAGATACCAGTATTAGCTCTCATAGCTGTAATTTCTGCATATTATTGTGGAAAAACAAACATATCCTCATCTCGACAGCAGCACACTTACCATGCTATAAACATAAGAATTGTTATTACTATATGTCTTGTGATATTGCCTATCATAAGGGCGTATATTATTTTGACTAATACTACTATCCCTTTGGTGCATGATGAAGTGCAAGACTATAGCACACCAGTACCAAAAAGAATGGACATTTCCTTTCATAGAAATATAAATCCATTTTTAAACGATACAGATATTATAAGCAGGATACGTGATGGATTAAATTACACTGTTAAATTTGCTAAATCAATTCTATTACCAGAGAGTAGTGTTAAAGATACTATTGTAACTCCTGCCACACCTTTTACCTATATTTATGGGACATCAAAATTTACTGATAAATTTACTTCTGTTAAGCCAGTGGATTATCTCGTAGCAAGTACCGAAGGTTTAGCATGGGTTATGCATCTTTGTTTTATTTTAAGCTTGAAACGTGGACGTAATCCTAATCCACGAGGACCAGTATTAATACGAGCTTTGATATTTCTTTTGGTCGTTATTTCTGTGCTACTGTTACGCAGTCACATTAATAATACATCTAAGGACGATGTTTTGCCAAATTTATCATTAGGTTTCAGTATCAGTGTAGTTACTCTTCTGATATTGTATACAATAACATTGATACCGGGTCCCAGTAGGTCAGAGCGCACGAGGACATCATCCCGAAATGTCATAGTAAGCTATTATCACAGAATTGTTTTACGTTTTCATCGATCTTTGTTTTTGTTACGATTTCTCGAAAATATTCAAATGAATTATCGATAAACAAAGATCTTATAGTAATATCACAATGTGTTTGTAGATAGGAGAACGCACTGCATTACTGAGTAATCCTACTTCCTCATACGTACAATTTCCGGAAGAACAGGAGACGGGCTACCTTGGAATTGCTATGGAAGATGTTACTATTATTTCTAAGCTCCTGTTCCATTGGGTAACACCATTAATGGAAAAAGGTGTTAAGAGGCTGTTAAATCATTCTGATGACTTATTTGATTTACCTGACCAGATTAGTACCAATTCAATTAATTATAAAATTGATCAACATTTAAATAATATGGTAAGCAAGCAGCTGTGACATTCTGCAGTTTATTTAACGATATAACATTTGTTAGAATATATATTTTAAGTAAACATAATAATTACTTTTCATAAATTAGTTTTCGTAATAATAATAATAATAATAATAATACTGACATTGCAGCCGGAAACAGCGAGCAATAGAATCGAAAATAATTTGGAAATACCGCTTCAGACGAATGTAAAAGTAATTACAAAAAAAATAACACTGTTTTACTTGTTGCATAAATGTTTCGGCTGGGAATTTTATACGGTTGGAATATTGAAATTTATCGCAGATTGCAGTTCATTTGTGGGACCAATATTGTTAAATAGATTAATAGGCTTTATTGAAGATAAAAATGAGCCAATCTCACATGGATATTTATATGCATCTCTTATAATACTCAGCGCTATAATTGGTACAAAATCAAATAATTTCAATATTGAATATATTTGTTACATGAATTATATATATGACAGAGTAATATTTATAGGTGCTTTTTGTAACACTCATTTTACATTCTGGATGTCTATTGTGGGTTTGAAAATTCGTTCTACAATTATTACTTTAGTCTATCAGAAAACATTGCATTCTTCTAATATCGATTTAAATCACAGTTTTAATTTTGGTGAAATCGTTAATTTTATGAGCACCGACAGTGATAGATTGGTAAATAGCTGTCCTAGTTTTCATACATTTTGGAGTATACCATTACAGGTAATATGAATATTTTATTTTTTTCTATATGTGTATTAAAAGATAGTATATTTTTTATATCTTATATCTTTAAGCTTTCTTTATTGATGCTTCTTAAAAATATTTATATTTTCAGTTATTCGTGACACTGTATCTTCTACATAAGCAAATTGGAGTTTCGTTTTTAGCTGGTGTTGCATTTTCGATAATACTTATACCAATTAATAAGATCATAGCAAGTAAAATTGGTAAGCTTAGCACCAAATTGATGGAATATAAAGATCAAAGAGTGAGGCTGATGGGAGAGATATTGCGCGGGATAACTGCAATCAAGGTTAATGTATGGGAGGAACACTTCTTACGAAATATTTACAGTTAGTACATTTTCATATAGATAATTTAAAAAAAATTAAATTTTTTGTACTTTAGCATCTTTATCTAAATATCTTTTTTTCCTTTACGTAGAGCTAAGGGAGAAAGAAGTGAAATATTTACGAGATAGAAAATATTTAGATGCTCTTTGCGTTTATTTCTGGGCGACTACGCCTGTTATCATTGCGATATTAACATTTGCGACATATGTATTACTTGGAAACGAATTAGATGCCAAAACGGTTTTTACTAGTATGGCGTTGTTGAACATGTTAATAGGACCGTTAAATGCGTTTCCATGGGTTTTAAACGGTCTCACAGAAGCATGGGTATCTCTTAAGAGAATTCAAAGAATGCTAGATGTATGTATATTTTGAAATTATAATACCGAGTGCAACAAATTATTGTTAGATACTCAGTTTCTATTCTATTAATTTAGTTACCGGACATGGATGCGTCATTGTATTATACAGATATTACTCCCGATGTTGATTTATTGCTGCAAAATGTAACATTAACTGTAAATCGTCCAAAGAATAACGATGATATAAATGCAAGTCCAAAAACTTTAATAACTCCATCTTCGAGCACTGAAATTAAGAAAAGCGTTACCTTCGAAGATGACGATGTCTTCGCCTTACATAATATTAATTTATCTGTACAAAAGGTAAGAATAAACTTTATAACGTTCTCTGTGAATGTAAATCAAATATTTTCTTTTGCACAGGGACAATTAATCGGTATCATGGGCAAAGTTGGAAGCGGAAAGTCTTTACTCTTAGATGGCATCTTAGCGGAAATAACAAAAACTAAAGGGATAATAGCAGTTAATGACGATCACAGAGGTTTTGGATATGTAAAACAAAATTCTTGGCTACAACGTGGTACAATCCGGGATAATATTCTCTTTGGAAAATCCTACGATCATAATAAATACAAGTAGGTATCAAGCGTCTTGAAATTGACGATGATGTTATTTTGTATTTTTTATATAGCATACGAGAATTCAAATTTGATCTTATTTTATGATTATAATAGAAACATTTTGAAGGCTTGCGCTCTCACGTCCGATTTGAATTCATTGCCTAATAAGGACTTAACAGCTGTTGGTGAAGCCGGGAATACTTTGAGTGGCGGCCAAAAGACGAGAATTTCCTTGGCTCGCGCTGTATATGCGGATAAAGATATTTATTTACTAGATGATATATTAGCAACGTTGGATGTCAAAGTTTCTAGACACGTATTTCAATACGTAATTCTAGACTTATTACGAAATAAAACCCGGATATTATGCACGCATCAGATTCAATACTTGATCCACGCAGATTTAGTTATCGAAATGTCGAAAGGAAAAATTATTAATCAAGGAAAACCGAGTGATATTTTGCCCGATCTGGAAGATTATCTTTTATCAGAGTCCTCCGAATCCGACTTGAATATGGCGTCTATAAAAATGATACCTAATGAATGTAGTCGATCGGAAAAGAATGAAATAGATCCGTTACTTGAAAAAGAAACTACTGAGAAAGGAACAGTACGCTTCTCAGTATACATGTACTATATCAAGGCCATTGGACAATACTTGGCAATTTCAATATTTCTCTCTATGATTCTAATGCAAAGCTCAAAAAACATTACAGATTTATGGTTAACATACTGGGTGACCCATACTAATACCACAACGATCAATTCAACCGACATGTCTCGACCTGGAAAATTATTGCAATTCTATTACAATAATTATAGTTTGCATGATACGAAGTATTACTTAACAGTTTACAGCTTACTAGCTGTATTTAATTCAATTTTTACTTTAATCAGAGCTTTCATTTTCGCATATGGTGGCTTGCAAGCAGCCATAACGATCCATAAGCAGCTCTTGAAGATAATTATGCGAGTAAATATGAGCTGGAGACTTATGGAATAATTTTTCTATTTCTTGTGATATCAGGATTTTACTATGAAAATTGTTTCAGGCAAAAACAACATTTTTCGATATTCAATCGTTTGGCAGGATTATAAATAGATTCTCATCCGATACATATACCATCGACGATTCTCTGCCTTTTATTACTAACATCTTGCTGGCACATCTATTTGGCTTAGTTGCTACCATTATAGTTACAGCTTATGGATTACCATGGATCTTTCTAGTATTAGCACCACTTATACCAATCTACCATTGGATACAAAATCATTATAGGTACAATTTTTTCCAATTTTCTACAAACACACATATATAAATATAAAAATCGATATTTGTTAAAAAATTTATATATAATTCTCCCTAAATATTTTCTATTATTTTTTAGATTAACATCGAGAGAGGTAAAACGGTTATCCAGTATCACGCTGTCTCCTTTATATGCTCATTTTAGTGAAACTTTGAGCGGGCTAACGAGTATCAGAGCCTTTCGTACTGTACCTCGCTTTAAACAAGAAAACGAATTACTACTGGAAGCCAATCAAAAAACGCAATTCGCTTCTATAGCTATTAGTCAATGGCTCGCGCTGAGATTGCAATTTATCGGTGTCGCCCTTTTAGCCGGAGTTAGCATTATGGCAGTGTTGCAACATCAATATAACATAGCTGATCCTGGTTTGATCGGTTTAGCGATTACATACGCATTATCTGTAACCGGATTATTATCCGGAGTGGTAAACTCCTTTACTGAGACTGAGAGAGAGATGATTGCGGTGGAACGAGTTAAACAGTATTTAGATCATGTGCCGACTGAAAATACGATGGGTGCTAATCCACCTTACGCATGGCCCACTCAGGGTGTTGTAGAATTTAGAGACGTTGTTTTGAAGTATAGGTAATAGTTTCAAATTTTCTGGTAAAGGTAATACACGATTATAGCATTTTTTGATAAATATAATTTATCATATCTGCAGAGATCATTTAGTGCCATCATTGAAAGAGGTAACATTTGTTACGCGACCAGCGGAAAAAATAGGCGTCGTTGGTCGCACTGGTGCTGGAAAAAGTTCGTTACTAGCTTCGTTATTTAGATTGACAGAGATCAGTTCTGGAAGTATATTAATCGACAACGTAAACATTCAAACGTTGCAATTGAATGCATTAAGGTATTCATAAACTTGCAAAACATTATCAAATAATCACTGTATGTTAGAAAGAAGTAAAGAAAGAAAAACATTCTAGATCCCGTTTAGCTATTATACCTCAAAATCCGTTTCTCTTCTCGGGTACTATTCGAGAGAATGTGGATCCGTTGAATCAGTATACTGATATGCATATATACAAAACCCTTGAGAAATGTAAAGTACATTCTTTAGTTTATCGATTGGGTGGCTTTGGCGCAGTCTTGGATGAAGGTGGTAATAATCTCAGCGCTGGTCAGAGACAATTGTTCTGTTTAGTCAGAGCTGTGCTACACAATGCGAAGGTTCTTCTTATCTGTAATATTGTTCAAGAAAGCAATTATTTGTGTATTAATAACTTCATATTTATTTATCATTTACAGATCGTCTGCATTGACGAAGCCACTGCGAATGTAGATCAAGAGACGGATAAATCTATTCAAGCGACAATAAAGTCTTCCTTCCAAAGCGCAACGGTTATTACAATCGCCCATAGAATAAAGACAATTATGCACTGTGATAGGTATTTTATCTTTTAGTTCTAAACTTCTTTTTATTTAATAATCTGTTTGCAAACATAAAAGATTTCATTAATTTCATAATGTATTTTTGTGCTAGATTTCGTCTAAAAAATATTTTTTCTATTCAGAGTTCTAGTGATGGGTGATGGAGAAGTATTGGAATTTGATGAGCCAAATTTATTAATTCAGAATGCCGATTCTTATTTCTACCATCTGGCTAGTCAAGAATTTACGGATCAAGAATGATTAAGCATATGATACGATCTGATTATGCAGTATAATTCAAAGTAATGAATGTATGTATATGATGGTTGTGTATGTGGTGTATTATATATACGTTACAATATTTCTTAAGAGACGAATTATTGTATTTTCATACAAATATGACAGGATTACATTTTTAAGGATAGTTTAAAAAACGATGTCTATAAAAGTAAACATTTTTTATTTGTATATGTAAGAGAGAGAGATATATGTAATATATTAATATCATTGTTACCGTAAACATTAATTGCGAAACTGTTTAAGGTTTAATTAATGTTTATGAATTCTATATATAGGTTGTCCATCTATTCTTTATAAACAAATAAATATCAAAATAAAAATCACAATAAAAAAATACAAAACGTTCTAGTTGATTCATCCCCATACTTTATATAATTCAAAGGATAAGCTCTCCCTTCATCAGAAATTTTATTAAAATTTTTATCTAGCTATATATTACTTTGTAACACAGATCTATTATTCCGAATTACACTTTGATACAGTTCATTTGAGAAACGCAATTGATGCGATTTATATAGTAATTAAGAATGCGATTGTTTGCTGTTAAAGGCGAACATTTTGTGATATTGTTTGCAGAGTTAATTAGTGCCCGGTAGCGCGTATGCACGTGTTGCCAGTCACGTTTGCATGTCTGTGTTTGCCTGTACGCAAACTCGAGCAGCGGCATAATTTATCCCGTAATGTATCCGGCATTCAGCCATATGACATGACGTTTCCTCGCTGTCATCGTTATAAGGCGGCGAGAATTAATGAGCTGTAGCCCCGGCTAATTTGCTTCCCGTTTTTTAATTGCCTGAAATTTAGCGGGACATGTACTACGCTATGTCGACGTGTCAACGAAAGTGAGACGTCCTGCACACTCGTGTTCTGCCGACTAAATCGCCAGAATGCAAGAGAGGCATGCCTCGGAAAACAAGCGCGATTCATGCCGCTAATGAGGTCGTTTATTTTACACGATCGGTCGGTCTTCCGGTAGCTTTTCGCGATGCAAGAAGCTCCCGAGTAAGCTAAACTCCACTCGATACGGTTAAGTTATCGAAACTTTCTATTTACAAAATTTTAGTTTAATAATTAGATATTTCTTAATATTGAAAATACATCATTAATTGGTTTATTATGTATGTAAAAATGTATTTTTATTACTTTATCATTTTTCTTTTCATTAAAATCAAAACTCGTAAAAAGAAAAATGTCTCGAGCAAAAGTTGATTTTCTTATCACGTATTTTATAAACTATCGCGGATATAGAACTATCGCGCATGTGACATAAATCTACAATAAGCCTCGCTTTTAAACTAAAATTGCCTGTATTTTACGGTGGAAGCTCACGTGTCCCAAAGGACTGACGGTAAGTAAAAAAAAAATTATACGGCATGATAGAGCCGTTAGGTCCTCCTTTTAGCTTTGTACCACGTTGTTTAAAAGTATTCGCTGCGCGCGGAAGGAATACTTTTACAACACAGTAAAGTTACATTTCTCTATTTTTTAGCATTTTAAATACTTCCAAAATTTTTGAAGTTATTAATATAATCCATGTATTTTTTTATTTTAACAATTTTTCTTTTTGCTCTCTGTATTATTAATAATTATACAATTAACTTTATACAAAATTTATATCCATTAAACAATTAAATTGTCATTATATATATATATA